TTTAATTTTGCAGGTGCAGTCAGAAGGCCACCATTCTTCATACATTCGCTTCATGTCTTTTCTTGCGGGGAGTACCAAATGAAGTGAGTTTCCTAGCAGACAATTTTGTTTAGTGCATTTTTGTCGCAGCACATTTGCTGAGAGCGATTGATGCTTGGTGCACAGAGCGAGTATTTGTTAACTGGCAGCTCCAACATGAAATTTGCAGTGGAATCCTCGTCCAGCATCTGTTCCAGTCGCTACTGGCCCGAATTTGATTGCGGTAATAACGAAAGAAGGGAACGCCGCTTACTGGGGTGAATACTCAGCTTCCACACTGAAAATGGACAGGTTTACTGTAAACATGAATGTGACTTCTATCAAGCCCCCACGTATATTCGATGCGCTCGATCAACTCTGCAGCATCGCTTGTGGAACGGAACACCTGCTAGGCTTAACGGCCCATGGAAAAGTCTACTCTGTTGGTGCAAATCGGTTCGTTACATGACTATATTATCATATCACTGGCACCGCACTGTCCGCGTATATTAGGGCTACTGGTTTCATGTGAATGAAAAACGAGTTTTTTTTAAAAAACCCCCAAGCAGCATGATCATTTGCAGCTCCTGATCGCCCTTTAAGTCGCTTTTTTCTTAGATTATTCTAAGCTGAACCTGAAAGTTTAGAACTCTTAGGAGGGGTAGTCGTACCCCAGCACAATCAAGCCAAGCCTTCTTATCTGGGAGAACCACTGTTCAGTTCCTTCCGATTGCTGATGGAGCGAGCAACATTCTAAGGTGTTCAGCAATCGATGAAGGGCTTTTTGACTAGGACCTATCCTCTTGCCTATTTTAGCAGCTACTTCGCAATAAGTTTTTATGCGTTTTTTGCAGCTATGCAATGCGGAAAACGCATACTGACAAGAGGTTATCTGTGTGTTTGTGTGTGTGTGTGTGTCTCTGCATGTGCGCTGGACCTCTGTACTGATTTCTCATCTTGAGATCTGCAAAAGCTGCAGAGCTAGAACTTTGGGAACTTAATCTACATGCATGTACGGGCCACCATCCCCAAAATGAACCGTCTTGCCGGCGTGGTACACACGTATGGGTCCGTGGAAGTTTTTTTGTGGGTAAGCCGCTAACTGTCGAACCAGGAAGGCTAGAAGGCTGAAATTTTAAGGGGATGTTCCCCGTCTACGTAAGTCTCAATGAGCTCAGTAGCAACCCTCGGGTGTGCATCGTACCCACATGCGGGCCTGCCGAAGTTTTTTTCGGGCAAGCCGCTAACATGAGAATTTATAAAGCTAGAAGACTGTAATTTTAAAAGGATATTCCCTGTCCACCTCAGTCTCACTAAGCTCAAACTCAGCCCTCGGTTGTGCGTGGTACCCACGTACGGGCGCGTGAAATTTTTTTCGGGTGAGCTGCTAACT